AAGGACTAGAAAGCAGAAGGGGACAGGAAAGCTGGTGATAGGGAACCCAAGGTTGAGTAAGGACAGTGTTGACATGTAGTGGGGTTGTTAACCATTGTCATAGTGCAACATGTGTACTCTTTAGTGAGAAACTATTTTGTTCTGTAAACCTTCATCTATAGTGAGAATAGCAGCACAACTGGAAGAGCGTAGTCGATGTCACTGAACTGTGCATGTAGAAATCTTTGAAATGGTGTACCTTTGGCTATGTATATTTTCACCAAAAAAAAAGGTTGAGAAGGGAGAGGGTTGACATGTTGTGGGGTTGTTAACCAATGTCATATAACAATATGTGTGCTACTGTTTAACAAGAAACTATTTGTTTTGTAAACCTTCACCTGAAGTACAATAAAATAAAAGAAAAAAAAAGAATGAGAAAGGGAGCTGGAGGTATACTCATAAAAAAATAAATATTGAATGAGGGATTTTAAAACAATGTAATGTTGACATTGTTTTTAAAACAAGGGGTTTTTACCTGAATCTAGAATTACCTACAAAGTTAACAAATTCATCTTAGGAAGAATAAGAACAAGCATTTGTCAATGGCATAAAAAAAAGTGTTGGAAAAGTGAAAATAAGAGAAATATATATTGTAAGAGAGCATTCCAGCATCAGGTGAGGCATTCAAAGGCGAAGAAAGGAAGCATACAAGGCAGGAAGGAAACCAAGAGCATAGAGGCAGATATAAAGAGAAAGGCTGAACTGAAAAGTCAAAAACTAGTTGAGGAATTGAGCCACCCCAACACTCAGGAGTTTACTTTGGAATATACCAATAAAGCCAGGTAGGACTGAGTTGTGATTATCTGGCTTAAAGGAGCATAAGCGGTGGTCTAGAAGTCAATAAAAGTGTTGAGAAGTATTTCCCAGTCAAGTTAAGACTAACAACTAAGGTGGAAAAGGTATACACACAATACAGAAAAGAACTCAAAATTAAATCATATGGAATGTCAAGACCATACTTAATAAAAGTAGACAAGGATTTCAGGAGGAAAACAAAGGGGAAAGAGAGCCCAAGAAAACCTCAGGCATGGAATTGAAGAAAAGTACCAAAGGACAGGAGTCCCTGGATAGTATAAACAGTTAAGACACTCTAACCGAATGATTGGAGGTTCGAGTCCACTCAGAAATGCCTCAGGAGAAAAGCTTGGAAATCTACTTCCAAAAAAATCAACCATTGAAAATCCTACGGAGTTCAGTTCTACTCTGACACTCATGGGGTCGCCAACCACATGGCAACTGGTTTGGTCACCACAGGGCAGAAATTTACATCTTCAAACACAGCTCTGTGTGTAAAGGGGGGAGATACACTGTGGGCTACAGAAAGCTTATCCGTGGTTAAGAGGGAAGATGGGGAGCTAGCCCAGTCCAAAAGCAGTAGTTGTCTGGGTAGGGACGTGCTGCCTGCCGGAAAGACAGTCCAAAACAGACTTCTTACCAACACAGTGGTGGTTGTCGTCAGCCAGGTCGAAGCCAAGGGTGCACTTGCAGCGGTAACCCAAACCGTCATTATCTAATATGTGGCTGATGACACAGACCTGTTCACAACCTCCATTGTTATTTCCACAAGGATTTACAGCTGGAGTAAAGGAAAAGTACCAGTTAGAAATGTATAATTATCCAAGACATGTAAGGTCAATTTGAGCCCTATAGATGAAACACAGTAGTAACGGGTTTGAAACTCAATGGAGACATCACTACCCACTACTGGGTACACTCACTCACCCAGTTTCATTGCTCTCAAATTGGTGGTGGCAAAAAACAGGCCTATTGCCCCATAAAACCAAATGGGACTAATGAGGCACAGCAGCCAGGGACAAGGGCCAGAAGGCCGAAGGAGGCAGGAAAGCTGGTGATAGGGAACCCAAGGTTGAGGAAGGATAGTGTTGATGTGTTGTGAGGTTGTTAACTGTTGTCATAGGGCAACATGTGTACTAACTGTTAAATGAGAAACTATTTTGTTCTGTAAGCCTTCATCTAAAGTGAGCATAGCAGCACAATTGGAAGAGCGTAGTCGATGTC